CACCCACACCCACACCCACACCCACACCCACACCCAGTTATCGCTTCTTCAGTCTTAACAATAATTCGAGAACTGCAACGTACTACGCATCGATGCGAAGGTCTAGATATGTGTCAATAGTGAAACGAAAAGAGGAATTTCATTGGATGTCAAAGAGCAGAAACGCTTTTGTCAATTGTATTCTCCAGATTATAGAGCAACCCATGGAAGCCGATGGGAATAACGTGCCAAGAAAGCTAGTTGAAAAATGTTGCAATATGCGTTAATGTAGAAATATCAAACACCGTCAGTCTAGGGACCAATTAATTAAGGTTCGATAAACATAACTATCAGTACGAATATCGTTTCATTTACTTGGTAAGATGAACGCTAGAATAACTTGATTTTTCTTTGTTTAGTTGGAATATCAGAACTCTGTTGAATTAATGTAAGCGCTAGTCTGTTTCTACTGCTGACACTTTCGATAGTCCGCAAGTTCCTTATCATTTTGACTTTTCTTGTCGCTTAAAGCTTTCGTAACTGCACTTTTAATTCTAGCCCATTTTTGGACCGCAACACTATGACTTGCATGGTTCCAATTACTACCAGCTCTATAATGCAGAATGTGGAAGTCACCTATGATACCATGATCGTAAGTTTTTGCTATGATTGGATCTTGTGGCCATATCAGTTGGAAAAGATCTGGATTTCTATTAATTTTTTCAATCATTTGCGGTGGTTGACGATGATATTGAGTCTGATAACCCGTTAGATCACCGTCTATGCCATAAGGTGTTTGCCAGATGCCTTTTATACGAACTTGCGGATGAGCATTAATCCAAAAATATGTTTCACCCCCTGAATCAAGACTTTGTCCTTTAATAACAGTGCTTTTCCATCTCAACTTAGATATATCGGGAATAGTTTGAATATCCTGAAATACAAAGAAGTTAGGCCATATATAGAAGATGTATGGACCGGGTACGTGGTGAAGTGGTCGACGCTGCCACACGGTCATGATATCATAATTTGTTGAGGGCATTACCTCTTCCCATACCCAATCATTTATGAAGAACATGTCAACATCAAGAAACCACACGCGGCCTCTATGTTTCGACGCATACTTCTCAAGAATCCATTGTACAGCTGCAGCGTGTGATGCTGATGGCCCACCATTCTGCAGTGATCTGGGAACTCGAATATATTTGACGTTTAGTTTGCTGCACGTGTCATTTATCGCCTTAGTTACTTCTTGTTGATTGCTGAAGCTATGATCGAACACTACGTATTCAAAAGAACTATTCGGTAGGAAAGCAAGCGCAGTTGCATAATTCAGTTCGATGATATCAGCGCGATTGATCGCAATCACAATTAGGAGCGTGACAGGTCCGGTGTCTGGAGTAAGAAATCCTGGAAGACGACATTCTTGGTTGGTAGCGACGTACATCGATGTAGCTCTTGATGGAATAGATTTGTTGTTAACATATTCAGATGAAGGTAACTTCCTTGCTACGTGTAGCTTCGAGTTAATAGCATCTAAACCAGCCGCATGGATTGTTTCTGAATGAATATCAGTACTACGGAAGACGCCAACGCATATGATAAAAACAAACCCAAAGAAAGTAACCCAGAAAAACAAGTGTGGCACAAACAATATTGTAACATAGCTTCGATCAACACAAATACATTTAATTTTGTTTAGGAAATCATTTCCTTTCCTTCTTGCGGTTATCATGGTAATGAGTAACAGATGCGTTTTCGACTCAATTACACGTTCTTCTGGTATGTTTCATGGAAAGAACTATCCAGCATGCTATGATCTTTCAAAAATCTAAACCATGAACGTATACATCAAGGGGAAACGGCGAATTTCGGATTTCCGGGATTGCCATGGGATTTCCGGGATTGCCATGGGATTTCTGGGATTTCCATGGGATTTCTGGGATTTCCATGGGATTTTCGGACTTTCCATAGAATTGCCGGGATTTCCGTGGGATTTATAGAACATTCATAATAATAATTTGCAGTCCCGAAATTCATATAGGATCTCTAGGATCTTAGTTATAGTTGTAAAAATCTCATTGGAGTCAGAGTCAGGGCTTCGTTGCTCTATAATACAGTTT